ACACACACACACACAGAGTCAAGGCATACGGCCAGGGCTCCAAATATTTAAGAAATTCTTTTCCAAAGAACAAATATCTACAGGGAAGGAATTCAGGTTGGATTTCCTAACTTAGTGCCAAAGTTTTAACACTAAACTACAAGAAAGAACAGTGTAGGACTGTGTCTATGAAGGCAGAACAGACTTTAATACACCTTAATGCCGATTTACTATGAAATACAAGGTGTGTGTGTGTGAGATAAAGGGGAAAGAGAAGGCGTCAATAAAGGAAGATTGAAGCAAACCCAAAAAGAAACAGAGGCCTGAATATCACTGACAAAACACAAAGACAATCTAATGACAGTCTTATCTTCAGGGCTGCAACTAATAGTTACTTTCTTTTTCGAAAATTTTGCAGATTATTTTCTTGAGTAATTTTTTGGCCTACAAAACATCAGAAGACGGTGACAAATACTCATCATAATATCCTCGAACTGGGCCAACCAATAGTATAAAAAACAACACTATGTGTAAGACCATAAAAAGCAACAAATCCTCTTTAGGAAACTGGAATCAGAGAAATTTTGACTGAAAAAAATACTTTGATGATTAACACAAAGTAGTTGCTGATTCCTTTTTTGATGCTCTTCTAATGAATGTATCAACTAATTTCCACAGATGTATTTCTGTTAGACAGTTTATTCTATATTTCCTATTGATGGATTACTGTTATGCTCTCTTATACTGTCATATGCATGCACACACAAACTGTGTCACTTTATATTTCTCTGGTGAAATCTTACTATGCTAGATCTTTTCCATCATTTCATGTAAATGTATTAAAGTTATTGCATTTGAGCTCTGTTTGTTTTCCTGGGCAAGTAAACCGGATCACCGTACCTGGAAGTTGCCCACCATGATGAGTCCAGCGGCACAGATCCAGCCTGTGGAGAGACTCGCCGTGTTGAGAACACAATTTTGGTGCTTTTCAATGACGTGGGCATAGCGGAGCAGCACAATCACCATAACTACAGACAAAGAGACACATACAGAAACACAGAATATGAGTCAGTTATTGGTGGTTCAGCAGATAAATAACACATCAAAATCCCATCAGAAAAGGAAGAATTTGGAAAAGTAATATTATTTCACACTGACTGGCTTTGATTCAATACAAACACTTCTCACGCCTCATTTAGCCAAATTACGCAAAAAGTTCTTGGAAAGTGATTAAGAGTTACACAAAGTATAATTTCTCTGCCTAACAAGTGGGAGTATGAGAGGCAGAAAATGGCGGGAAAGTGGTAACGATACATGGGCGGGGGTTGGCCCAAGTCTTGCATAACATTAAGAGGTGGAGGCAAACTAAGTACAGTATATGGGACAGATGGCTCCTGATGTGCTAATGCGTTGTGACTGGGGGTATTGTTGGTGCACTGAGGAGCTAACCCCCGCCTGGTTTCTATTTGTTAGCTCCTCACGGCTGGTGCTTGACGAAGGCTGACTGGGCTTGGTGAAAGCAGGGCATAGGGGGGGAATGGAAAAGAGGAGGGTGAGTGGGGAAAAGAAGCCCCTCGTGTCTTGACCTGAAGCCCATACATTGTCTCGGAGACAGAACTGTGTCTTAACTCTGTCACCATCTCTGTATAACAGACATGTTTTAAGATGATCTACGTTGCCAGAAAGAGAATATAAATGGAAACTGTGGTCACAGAGAGGAAAGAAAAACGTTAGCGAAGTACTTGACAATGTAAAGCTTTGTTTCCACTAGTCAGGGTTTGGATATGTTGTGGCCTGTCTGGCTCTAAATCAGTGTCACAATGATGAGACACTTTTCATAACCTGGCCAAAACCTCAATGTGAGGTTTTTATTTATTTATTACATTTATCTTTTATTCACAATGTTGTTGTTGTTTGTTGCAGCAGCAACAAATTATCTTGTGTTAGTTATTTTGTTGTGACAGGTTATTTTGATCAACAGAAGGATAAATTATATTCACAAATATAAATCTGGGAGAGAATTTCAACAATGAAGGACCATTCATCACAACACCATTGTTGAAAACATCAACATTGGTCAACAGGGTCTGTGCAAGTCGTACTAAATTATAAAAAGCATTTAAATCTTTTATTTTAGCTGAATGTTATTTCAACATGTGTTTTTGGAATATAGGATAAACTGTGAAATGTTGTGTTTTTGTTTTTGTCCGTTCTGGGCTACTGTAGAAACAAGGCGGTTCAACACTAAGGCCTCTGTGGAAGAGGAAATGTTTCATTCTAACAAAAACAGTTACACACTAATGAAAATATACCTATGAATTTGATATTCAACTTCTGCCAATAGATCCTCCTAATTAATACACACTGGACCTTTAACATCTATTGTGATTTATCATATAAATAAATATCATTTAATCATCATTTATTTAACAGGGACCATAGAGCTAAGCAAGAAATGTAATGTATACATAGCGTCAGAGCTGTAGCTAATTTGTAAGATATATTTGTTGTAAGAATGTATATCAGTGTTATGTTTGTTCAGATCCTCAAGCCCCACCTTGAGAGTGTGTGTTCTTGTTTGTGTGAGCTGCCCTATGTTCCCACAGCACTAAAATCATCTTGGCAAAGTGATTTCAGTTACAATCATGGAAAAACAAACAGCAGTGTCTCCAGGCTCGGAAACAATCTTGTCTTTGTTATTTTTTTCCTACTCCTTTTTTTTTCCTTTTTGTAAATGGAGAACATACTGTGTTGCTGAAGGGACAAGAAAGTCAACTGCAGTTTATTTCATTAGATTATGGCATTTCGGTCTCTCTGCTGCAGACTGGCTGGCTGTGGATTTTTCCTATTTCAACAAAATGACTTTTTCATCGTCACGAATGAGCATGTTTGAACTCGCTGGCATTTAGCAGTTACCACGAAATGATGTAAGCTAGGCCTGAAGGTTAAAAACACAACAGAACATTTTCCCCATTACTCTCTACAACCACATCCATGTTTTGCTTTTACTTTGTGCACTATAAAAGGCACATTAGTGAGTGGTGTTTTTCTGGTGTATTTCTTTGGAGGATGCATGTCATGCTGAGAGGTTGCAGGCTTCTACAGCACAAGGGTTGCATGTCTCATGGGTAAGCCTCAAACTGACCTCTACCTGGCCTCACATGGTCAGGACAAGCTGTTGTCTGACACCTCAACAACAGGAATAAGTTTACATAAACACACCATGCCTGTGTCCTGAACACAGTCCCAGCTATAGTCACCTTCCACACAACCGCCCTCTTCCGGATTTAACTACTTTTCTCTGAAGTCAGAAAGCCCAAGGGAGGAAGCAGAGTCTGGGCTTAAACACTGACTCACACACTAGACACCAATGCTACTCTATCATGGATGTCACCTTGCAACAACGTGGACGCACTCTAATGAATGTGCAACCCTGCTGTCACAAGCACAGACTTGCTTCTTTGTTCACACACACAGGTGAACACTAAAATGCGCATACACACACACACACACGTGCATATTCCCACTGAAGTCACATCAGCCACACCACACCTCACAGTTAAATAAACCCTGCTGCCTCCACAAGGAGATACGTTTCAACCCAAACACCCAGCTGCATGCTCCCCCACAGAAGGTATGCTGAGAAAGAATACATGCATTGTCTTTGAATCGCTGTGTGTACACTGGCAGAGAGGTGGGAACTGGGATAAAAACGAGAAGAATAATTATGAGGCAACGTACAGTTCATTGAGTCCATCTTATCCTGCATAGGAGTGAACCCCTGAGCCAACTATAGTAGGCACAATCCACAAAGTACGGCATAAATCAATAGGCTAAAAAGCTAAGCACTGATTATTTACAATGGCCTGTTGTACAGCTACATGCCACATTGGCTTAACCTACTTCTTCAGAGCCACAATAACTTGCTTTACAACAGGTATTAACATATGCTATGTTCAGACTGAAAGAATGGTGAAGAAATTAAATAAACACACACAGGGAAGTTGTAAATGCAACCCATGTGACCTGAAGATTGAAGCACTCAAACCACACGCTGGGGAGGTGACAGACGTATTCGGCCAGGTGTAAAAGCAGCTTGACTCAAATGCTGCCACAAAAAGTACAACCACTATTTATTTAATTGTATGCAGACAGATTAAACTAAATAATTAAAGAACTGTGGTTTAAACAGAAAGCAGGCGTGATGTTACATGTGTGTCAGAAATTGACATCTCTATGTTTTGCAAGGATCAAAGAAGTGTCTACTTTTAATGTAATCCATGTGTAGAGTAAGACACGAGAAATCAGCTATAAAATATTAAAAAAATATTGAAAAAGTGTAGGAATTTTTTTGTATTATAATAATTTTGTTTGATCAACAGTCCAAAACCCAAATATATTCAGTTTACTGTTATAGAAAAGCAGTAAATATTCCCACTTGAGAGGCTGGAACAAGTGAATTTTGGTAATATTTGCTTGAAAAATGTTGTTGCAGATACACTTTTTTATCGATCAACTAATCAATTAAACACTCGAGCTATGTTTTTATATTAAATAATTATTACTGGCCGATATGTATTATTCTTACATTATTGTATTTATTATCATATGGATTCTATTTATTATCTCACACTGATGGACGTTCAACACAAACGTTTTCATGTAGTTGTTGTTCTGTCATTGTTTACCTGCCCAGGGATGACAGATGTAAATTAGCTGTTAGCTAACTCTGATCCAATTGCTTTTAATTGTGCGCTGTGCAAAAATGAACAAATAAAAGTTTAAACAAATATAAATAACTGCCTCAAAAATCCGGTATCAGTCAGGTTATAATCCAGTTTAACTACTTCTGGTAACGATCTGGACGCACCTTGTATTTACCAGTAGCTATGGTTACAACCAGTGGAGTCTATTCTTAAAAACAGGCAGTATGATTTTGATAGTACAGACTAGTGTGTAAGGAGTAATGGGCCACTTATCTGCAAAGTTACCACACAATTACATCAAAGTCATCTTGCATAAAAAATTAACAGTCATCATGTTGAGCAATGTGGAGACAGGAAATCTGCAAAATGATGATGAATTTGGTAAGCTTCAAACTATGAGAAGCAAAATTGTTTGGCTGCTACATTGTTTGGTTACCACATAACAATTTCTGAATTGACTTGCCTTTCTGTAGAATAACAGAACAATCACAGTGCGGTGTTTAGCCTACCTCTTTCTTGAACAAATACGTATGTGTGCACCATGCCAACAGACTGACCTACTGCAGTTCAGGGGTCATGGTTGACTAACAGTGCTGGACAAATGCTGGACTGTCACTGCTGCCTGAGCAGACTTCACACTGAGCTGCAACTGTCTGGTCCTTAACAAGATCCCTCAAGCAGTGCACTATATCCAGTCTCTCTACATACACACAAAAAGGCTCTCCCCATGTTTCCTACAGGCAAACCCAGAGCTGTGATCTGGATCTCAACAACACACAGTACACAGCTTAACAAAGTTGAAAGTTGTTTTTGTTTTTTTATCTACTAGGATCATTGTTTTATCGTGTCTCTGCCTTTCTCTCAGATGTATCAAGCAGCAGTCCAGAGTGGCCAATCAGACAGACAGGCAGGCCTTAAATAGCTGCAAGAGGCATGGAGGCTCCTTATGAAAAGACAAACAAGGCAAAGGAACCTCTCCCCCGCTTTAATAATTCTTCAGGGCCGGGCAGCCACACACCCCACCCCACCCCCACCCCCAGCACACCCCCCAGCCACACCCACACCCACCACCAACACACAACGTTTCAAAACCACAGCTGAAATTACCGAATCAGGGGGTAGTTCAGAAACCACCAGTTAACACAGGAACAGCACGCTGTGACTCACAAAAAACATACAGGCCAGCACATGGGAGCTTTTTCCTTTTTTATATCATGTGTGTTTTCCTATGAATAATAAACTGCACACAATGTTGTGTGTGTGTGTGTGTGTGCTGCTTGTACATTTATTACTTTGTATGAAAGCATTCTCATTGTCATTTGTACTTCCCCTTCCATTCAAACTGACCACGTTCAAGGTTTTCACTGGCTCTTCACACAATCAGCTTTTTTCTAAAGGCAACAAAACGTTGTTAATGGTAAATTAGTTACTCTGAAGCCTTAAAATAACCAAGAGTTGATCAAAAGAACTACATTACAATACGTTACAGTACCTGTAAGGAAACTCTCTCCTGCTGATGTAGTTTGAGGAACACATTTTATTATAACTGTGTGTAGGAGAAACAACGGTGGCCATGAAACTGCTTTTCAAGGGCCCTATTACAGCCAGTGTTTGGCTTGTTCGTTCTGGGTTACTGTAGAAACATGATGGTTCAACATGGGGGATTTCATGGAAAGCATCTGTAGATAAAAATGGCTCATTCTAAGGTAACAAAAACAGAACGATTCCTATATATATACATACATACTATATTCCTATAGTATAGCATACCTATGAATATAACCTTTAACATATTTATTTTCTGAAAGTATTTTCTTGTATATTATACAGACAGAAAATGTGTCCGCAACTGTTTTGATAGTTGATTAATTTTTTTTAAAGAAAGATATGTGCTTGTTCCAGGTTTGAAATGTTAGGATTTAATGATATTTTCTATTCTGCATTATAGTAACCCTAATATCAAAAGGTTTTGAACGGTAAGTCAGCAAAAAACAAGACATTTGAACATGTCACCTTGGCCATTTGCGAGTATCCGTCCCTATTTTCTGACATTTTACATACAAAACAAACAGCAGATTGATGGATAATTAAAATAATTGCTAATTGAAGCCCTAATATTGTGAATTCTTATCAGTGATAAGAGGGTGACTCATAGCAGGAATCGAAGTTGATGATTGCGACGTGTCTGTGTGTGTGTGTGTGTGTGTGTGTGTGTGTTGTTTGTGTGTACACATGATGCCTTACCCATAAATGATCCTGTGCTGCAGATAAGGCTGAAGAAGCAGCTCTCGGGGGGAAGAGTCCCACATTTACTGTAAGAGAGAGTACACAGAAATAAACCAGAGAAATACTGTGAATCAACATACGCAGTATACTACACAGCAACAGTGCTACTAATTCCCCTCCCACGTTATGTACTCTGAAATATAGCATGTTTTTAGAAATACATTTCTGCTCATGCAAGGAAGTAAGGGGGGGCTTTGACTTTTCACCTACTGCTTCTCCTCCTCTAGGAATGGGAAATGTTTGTAGGAGGGGAAGGCAGAAGACAGTCAACACAGGCTGTCTGTGCCCAAGCTCCTGCTGCCTACAAGCCAAAGCCTTATCAGCTGACTGGAGTCACACACACATTCTTCATATGAAAATGTAAAAATCAGTACACTCTTCTCACACTGATCATTTTTAAACAATTATTTGATGTATTTAGCATTATGATGGATGGTTATGTACATAAATTGTATACATTTTGAAACATTTAGGCATTTCAACTGTAACTGAACATAAATTTTGAGAGCTACTTTATATTTCTGGGCACATTATCATGCTCATTACCTGTCGTCTGCGTTTAGATGAAAACATAAGAAGTGATTTCTTTGCATTTTATATACAAACCACAGTATTTCCACTCTACAACTGGCCTTTGATGTTGAAAGCTCTGTGGGATAAAAAGCTAAACAAAAGGAGCTGGGAGTGTCTTGATTTTTTCCCAAATGTAAGCCGACTCCTCTGCATGTGTGTTTACATGGTAAAGTGCAGACCCATGCTTTGCCTCTGAACTGCCACGGTGGCAGGCAGGATATTCCAGCCCCAAGTTATTTTCAGAATGCACACACACACACAACACACACACACACACACACACACACACACACACAACACACACACACACACACACACAACACACAACACACAGTCACACACACACAGAGTCACACTCTCAAGAGAACTGTCTACTTCAAGCTCACTCGCTTTCTATCAACAATGTGCCGACAGGGGTCATGTAAAACAATGGGACGGTGTTCCTGTTTTTAACCACCAAACAGAAACTAGAAACAAAGTGACAGAAAAGAGACAGGGGGACAGACAGGGAGAGGTTGGGCTGGGAATCTCACTGACCTGATGAGAGGTACATTGTCTAGTGTGCAGCACAAGGTTGGCCCACTCTGCAAATACAGCTCCTCTTCACATGACTGGTTGTACAACCTGGAACACCAAACATGCGTGCACATGAGCAAGCACACACACAAAGTACTGCAAAGCTCAATGTTAAAAGATACACATACTGGGCAAAATCCCTTTTATGTTAAGTTAAAGTAACAGTTTTATTAGCACAACTTCAATGCTACTCCATTTTTTCTGATTATTATTATTATTATTATTATCATATATATTCTTAGAATGTCTGGAACAAATATTTAATTTGACAAATGAATTGAGAACAATTGCCAATATTAAATCGCAGTTTAGATCCATGTTAAATGTCCAGTGTGTAACATTCAGCAGGATCTACCGGTAGAAATATAATCTAATACCCATAGATATGTTTTCATAAGTGATTAATCACCTGGACATAAGAATCGTTATGTTTCGTTACCTCAGAATGAGCAGTTTTCATCTCCAAGAGGAGCGGGTTTCTACAGTGTACCGTTTCTACAGTAGCCCAGAACGGACAAACCAAATACCTGCTTTAGATAGAGCGTTTTTTGCATTTATTGCAACCTACACAGCCACTGTAGTTTCTTCTACAAGCTTGGAGTGGGAGGCAAGGGGGTTGTAATCTACAACTACACCGCGAGATGCCACTAAATCCTACAAACTGGTCCTTTTAATTTACTGCAGTTTGTTTTTGCTTTCGGTTAATGTGAGCAGATTTAGGTGTGTCTCTTGAATATTTGTGAAGTGACTAAATGTGCCAACAGAGCTTATTACATTCCCTAGAGAAAAAGATTGGGAAAGACAAAGCCACTGACAGTGACATTGGCATGATGCAAGGCATGATTTTGTAGAGTGTGTAGGGATCAACAGAGGTATGATGAAGCAACATACCAGTTATCCACAGGGCAGACATGCTGGTTGTACAGGGCCATGGCATACCTAGAAGAGAGACAGTGTGATTAGCAAAAATAAAAGGCAATTATTTTATGATCATCCAAAGTGACTCAAGTAATAATTCAGAATAATAAATAATATTAAAAACATTTTAATCACTAAAGGAAGGTTAGGAATGCATCATCAGAACCATAGCCACTGCAATATCATGACATTACTGCGTATTACTGTGGCGAGTTGCCCCATAAGAAAGACAGACAGAGATAGCGATGAGGCGTAGTGCTTCTTGAAAACAAGAAAATAAAACAATTAGAATTTGTTTTCAGCAAAACCCCAAAGCCTGTCATTTTCTAACACTACAATATTTTATATTTGTAGTACAATTAACTCTATATGTAAGTGTTCAAACTATACTTACTACCAAAATGTACTTCAAATCACCTCAATCTTTTAATTTGAACCTACTGAATGTCAGCAGTGACCATCACAATATTAAAATCTTGTCAGTCTGAACTGTCACTGAGCTGTACCTGTTTGCTCAACCTGAAGGACCAGGTCACCTGACATTGACCGTTATCAAACCACTCTACGCAGAACTCAAAGAGAGAAAACACTGGTTTGTGTCAGCCAAACTGGTATGATTACTACTAAAAACCAACAGAAGTGTTTATTTGGTCAGGTCACTGACCAGCCGCATGCATAGAGAAGTCAATGGCCAGAGGATCAAAAGACAGAAACTGTATTTTGCAATCTCAAGACCTATATTTTACTAAATCTCCACTGCTTGTTTTATAATCAGCATGCTGGAGATTCATTCATGTTTATTGCCCACAGCTGAATTAAGCATTAAACACTGGACAGAAATGAAAGCTCTGGGTGTATAATGTGGTTGAGACTGACATTCATCAATTAAAATAAAACTAGAGCCAAACCCGATAAAACAGCCAATATTAGTTTACATCGGTATCTGTGTATGTCAGATGATAAAGAAATACAGAAAGAGAGCACTGAAATTATCGTTGTAAATGTTGATATGAGTATCAGCCTCATAAAAGCTGTCATGGATCTGTCTTTGAAGTAAGGGTGCAGAATTAGGCTATGATTTATTAACTGTTCACAAACACCAGGGCTGCAGGATATAAAACATATTGCGATTATTTTGACAGATACTGAAACTGCAATGATTCACGATTAGTGGGGAATGATTTTTGTAATCACAATTTTATTTTTCACTGGAAAAACAATTAAAATTGTGACCACATTTGTTGGGGTGCGTACCAAACAAACATGTTGTCTTACATTTGAAGAACAAGATTTGTATGCCAAGGATCTCTGCAGAACTACAGTACTTCATTATAATGCAGTTTTGACATACATTTGAAAAATTGCAGCTTCTTGTGATTTGGATATTGCACTTGACCTGATTGCAAATTCAATTATAGTGCAACTAAACAATATTAAGATTGCACTGAAAGGGCAAATTTGTTTCTACCAGTGAATGGCCCACTTTCAGATATTTTTGCCTTGGGACTTAAAGTGTCAGGCCCTTGATTATTTTCTCGCCAGCAACATGTACAGCTAAACTGTGTCTGCTCTGTCCGTACATGTCCAAGTCATATGGGACAGCAGTTGTAAATAAGACAAATGTGCAGAAGGCTGAGTGTTAAATGGCTGGTTGCACTGCTCAAAATCAAGAGCAAAGGAAAAAGATAGTCAACAGTCTTAGACGTTAACATATACCAAAATGTGCTCGTCAACATATACGATTATTTGTGATCCTTTTTATGATTCATGATCCTATTTCTGGGTGGGATTTCAGGGAAGCTCCAGAAGGAAAAGCAATTGTCACATTATCCCCTTGTTATCTACACACAGACACGCAGTAAACACTGATAGAATATCTTCAATGGCCAGAAAAAGATGAAAAAACAGACAGACCGAGTCAGACACAGACAGTCAGACAAGGAGACTATTTGTCCTGATTTGTGAAAGCAGTTGTAGTTCAGTAGAAGGTTAAGTACCAATTAAGTATGTTTCCAGGACCCAGGGATAGCGCCCTACTCACAAACCAGTCTGAAGGACAGAGACATGTAAAGACACACACCTGCTACCCACTGACAAGCACACACACACGCTTCATGACAATATCTACTCTATTGGAAACAAAGATTCTGGTGCTGAAGACGTAGCAATATAATAATCCAATAATAATTATAAATGTGTGTTTCATACCATGGCTGCAGTTTCACCCCTGGTTGAAAGCAGGGTCAAAAGGCAGAGTCAGACAACACTCACTGACCTATTCGGATCAATGCTGTAAATCACTTTCATCCATTAAATGTGGTTTGCCATCAATCCAAGCTCATGTTTAGTGTTCAATTTTGTGTTATTATACAATTAAATACTGTTTGCACTGTATTGTACACTAAGAGATAGCTCCCACAAAATCCTACATACAGAAAGTCAACGAATAAAACAACAATCATTACTACGACAGTCAGTCGGTACCCTTAATTGATTGAGGATTAATATTAATTTAAGCCACTAATTTCTTCTAGGAAATCCACATTATGGAGTATCTGTTTGTGTCTTAGTGTAAGTGTGAGCAAGCAGAAGGCAACGTTTTTTTTTTATAGCACTACATGTAATTGGTAAAATGCACATCTGGTATTGACAGACTGCTGTAGAAGGTAGCAACATTTGACTGGCTGCTTATTGGCTGGGATAGGCTATGTGAATTATCATGTGAAAGTCATATGAGCCAGATGGTTCTCTGTAAAGAGCACTGCATAATGCAGTGAGGAAACCCACTGGTGGGAGTGGAATATAGCCGTCAGGTAGAAGGCTGCCACAGCTCCAGCTCCGAGCCCATCAGAGAATACTATGACACCAACTTGACCAAAACAAAAGCAGCTCACAACAAATGCAGAGGCTTACCAAGGGAAAAAATGTAGGAAAAGAAATCATAGCCAGCTGAAATTGTTAAATGTTCCATAACATTTTTTTATATTTGTTCTGCTCTAAAATAGCAGCAGTGCCGCTCTGGGACGTTTCTGAATAAAGCGGTGTTGTTTTTGCTGTATGTGGGTCTAAACTAGCGCATTCTGTGCTCGGAGGAGGAGAAGTAATAATAGGTTTGTTTACATAATTAGACCTCTATCAAAGCTCAGTAGTGGTTGTAAACTGTAATTGCATGCCTGTGAGCAATATATAGGTAGAACAGACCATGCTTCTTCTTTTTTTTTTTTTAAATGTAGGACTGAACAAGGAACAGTAAGGAACAACCTTTATGAAAGATCTGGTATGGACTGTGAACCTCCCCAAAAGCTGTGCAAAAATAACACATCAAGAGACCACAGGAAAGGGTGTGATGTATAAACTATGAATGAATTTTTGGCAGTACAGACTCCAGTTGCTTCGCCGGCTGGTTGCTGTAGCACCTTAAAAACGCACAGTATTTAAAAACTGATCGCTGTGCTTAAAAACTATACAAATCTACACAGCAAGTACTACTTACGAGCACAGTAGAGCCACACTGCAGTTTCGCACACACTGCTAAACTCATAAAAGGTCAGCAAAAGAACCTAAGCCAAGACTCTTGGGTGGGCACAAGCCTGAGCCTTCCTCTGGCTCCACAGACCTTTCGTACACTGGGCATGGCTTCCAGATGCAGAGTGAAAGTTCTGCTCACACTCACTATTACCCTGTTCTAGTATTTACCTTACTCCCTCCCAGTCACCCACAGTGAAAGAGGGAGTTACGCAACATGTCACATCCTTTGACATTCCACTAGTCTGGAAAAAGACCCTTGACTGCTCTTGGAAACAAGGCGCCCTTGTCAAGGTAATGGGAAGGAAATGGATTTAAAGGGACTGACAGTCCGCAGCATTTGGCATCTTACCTCAGATCAACTTTCTACCTCAGAAACAAATGCCAAAACAAGAAAGAAATGTGCAGAGCAAGCACTAATTTTCACCTGCACGTTTCCAACTCAGTAAAGGGCTGTCAGTGTAACTCCTTTTTTTTTTTGCAAATCCCTGCACACCTGAATACACACTCCTGATTGAAATACGAGGCAGCCATGTTCACAAACACAACTAATTGGTTTGCACGTTCTCAGGCAACTCATCATAGATGTAACAGAGTAAATACAGAACTACAACAATTTGGAATTGGGCCATCTGTCTCTCTCCCCCTGAGGTTTGCATTCCTACTCCCAGAGTAATAACAGAGCAGCGAGAAAAGCTGTCAACCCAAATATAACCGGGAGGTATTCACTCCTTTTCTCTCCGGTACATCTGCTCAGATACTGTAGTGCAGATAATTAAGATATACTGCAAATCTGCACATCTCACTTTTAAGAGAGGGGTGATAATCCCAGATCCTTCCTAGAAAGAGTTAATCCACATGCAATTGCCATGGCTCCCAGGAATTCAGGGTAAATATGCAATGTTACTCTCCTGGAGGCAAGAGAGGCGGAGGTGTCCGAAGGTTTTAGCTTAAATATGAACGTGTAATTCGTTAGAATATGACGCTGGGTGTCACTACATGTATTCTATGTGAAATATCATCATGCAAAATATAATTTTCACTATGATATTTCTGTTCATTACATTATACACTGTGATATTTAATTTAAATAAATAAAAAGAAATAAAAAAAAAGAGGAGATAAAGATGCAAAAATCCAGATGTTCACTGTTTTTTCACAGATGTGAGAATCTGAAAATTATTAAGCAGGATAATGGTTTATGAGACAGTGGGCAAAAAGCTTTTTTACACTATTGCACATGGATACATTGTGATTATATTGTTATTGATTATTCAGATCTATTTAGCATTTATTCTATTTAGAAATGTATATATAGTGTTTTGGTTAATAAAAAAGTTGATAATCTGCTGGGGACATGGTGTTTTTCTTGTACCTGGTGGCATTTAAAATAAATAGTGTGAATGACCAAATAGGCGTATGTCGAAATGTTGTGGCTACCAATGCAGAAATGACTCACTAAATTCACTTTTACAAGGTTACTGTACGGACAGAAAAAAATCCCTGTTGCATCACAAAGTCTTAATATTCTCTTACATTATAACCTGTGTAACACGCTTTGCATCAGTGCTCACTGCCAAGGCAGCAGGCAATTTTACAAACGCGCTCAGTCTCAGTGGACTTGAGTAGGTTCTTGTTTGTGTGAGATTTTTAGCCTGTGCAGTTATAAAGATCTGATGTTTTACTACAAAAGAAAATGCAAAACACTTACACAACCCATATCCCAGTGATGGTCAGAACTGGGAGGCTAACAGGCAGTATCATCCAGAGAGACATCTTCCAGCACCTTGAACAGCCCCTTTCTTCTTTTTCCTCTTCGGCCAGCCGAGCAATATCTGCTCAAGTAGTACTAACATTTAACTGAGTGTGACTGACATCTGCACTGCCACCGACTGATTCATCTTCTTGATGATGATGGAGGATGGTAGATGGGACACTGGGGGGGGACAGATCAGTCCTTTTAGCTGGTGAATGAGAGGAGATTGAAGTGAGTTGGTCAGGATCACTCATCAACTAATCAGAGAGCAATTATAATCATCATTAAGGCTTGCCAGCTGAATCTGAGTAAGACCCTGTAGTCAGGGTTATGTGATGCTCACAACAATTTCTAGTGTATAGAAGGTGTAAGACTGCAAAGAAAAACACCTGTAACGCAACCCAATACAATATCACTTTATGCTGCTTTTATGAAGCTGTGATGTTAATTTAAAGTTCACCAAAGATCACTGAGATTTTGGAGTTGCATCCAACAGTAAATCGTATTTTAGCTCAATTTAAACATAGAGTTGGGTGACGGCTAGGTTACATATCACAGGTAGCGTAACGTTAGGTTTACACGTTTTTTTTTTTTAAGTTGGTTGCATCCTTTCTCATGCCATAAGCTGAGTAGCTGCTCACCTTCACGTTTCTAGCCAGCAACAACGACGAACATCAAAAGCAAATCTGTACTCACCTCCTCCCGTTATGATAGCTACAAAGTTTTCTCCTGTTGCTGTTTTATTTATTATTTTTTTGGGGTTACTTTGAGTACGCCGACCTGTTCCTCCACACCTCTGGTAGCCCAAAAACTATTCCACACTGCACTCGCAGGACACGGTTGAGCCCTATTTCAAGCAGAAATCCCTGTTTTCTTCCCGAACAACAGCAGTCCCGTCGGCCGTCCTCGCTTTGAACGGGAGTGGGGGAAGTCGCTCTCATCGCCGCCACGAGACAATCCAGCTGTTTTGACTCCGCCCACACAGAACCTGTAGCGTACGTTGCGTTCACGTTGTGGGCGGGGACGAGAGGAAAATAACTAGGTATAAAAGCAGTTTGTGTGTGTGTGAATGAGAGTGTGTATGAGTGTGTGTGTGTGTGTGTGTGTGTGTGTGAGTTGTCTTTTACAGTATAATGATGGCAGCTTAAGAACAACTAAATTAGTTTTCACCAACAGTCTCAGTTTCAAACATTTTGAACGTGTCCTGCTTGATAACAGGAAGTAAACTCGGAACCTAGTTGTTACCTAGCAACGCCATTCATAAGAAAAAACTAATTTCTTCCTTTTGGCTTCTCTGAAACAACTTCTTCTTCTTCTTTTTTTTTTTTTCTTGTGGCTTCCCGCTCCCAGTTGATCAGGATTTTTCGTTTCATTTTTATCTCCCACTGAAAAAGTTAGATGACTCAGTCAATAAACAAGTCTGTGTAAATAGAGCATAACAACATCTGTGTATGTATCCTCTGCGCTCCGGTGTGTGTGTGTGTGTGTGCTGTAAAATCAAAGCCAGCCTGTCCAACAAAACGTGTTTCTGCTGCCCCCTGGAGCTTAAACTTGTTTATGTCTCTCTATACCTGCAACCCCTACTGAAGACCAGGAGATGGGGGTATATGGCAACATGTACACATCTGATAGTATTTGATCTGGTCTCCTCTTCTTCCTCTTGATCTCTTTCTTTGTGCAAGCCACCAAGAAGCAACTTGAAATATGAGCAACTTACTGTTAACCGTGTTTATATTTTGGTATTATATATATTTTAGATTTTGGATTGATATATTTGTACTTGTACCTTTATTGAGTTTATTTTATTATTTTATTATTGCGTTTATCTTTCCTACCTTGTACTTCAACTGCAGCTCCACCATTTCTATCAGGATAAATAAGGCTTCTCTTATCTTGATAGCCCATTGATTAAGTTAAGTTGTTTTACTTGTTTATTTGTCACTTCAAGCAAACAAAACTCAAAAGGTCGTCCAGGTTTTCCTCTCCTGGTCTTAAGTACCTTGTTCTGTACTAATGCATCCAAGATGGCTGATAGATGGACATGTGAAAAACAACAGCAACTCCAGTTCCAGTAATGGTGAGCCACTGTCCACATGATGCATTATAACAGGATCAAAGACAGCTGTCTCATGCAAATACATATTTAATGTGCCAAATAAATCAGTAATATAAACTATGATTTAATTTCACAGACAGCATGTAAGCATAAATGTAAATATAATATGATTTAACATAAAAAAGATATGAGACATCAGGAAAATAACATTATTTACAATTGTTGCATGAATGTACTAGTCAAAGCTAACATTTTGTTGTGATCTCATTAGAGTATAAAGCCCCAAAACAACAGTCAGCAATGAAAAGGACAAAAACAGATCAGTTTGATTGTTTAAAACACTCACACAATAGTTAATTTAATGAGGAAAAAATAACTTTCAGGCAAGAGTGAAACAAACAGACACACTGTTTTAAATTTCAAAGCATTATTGACAATATTGTGTAATTTTGATGCCAATTACTGGCACTATGGTAACTGTCCTACAGTCTTATGCTCGTACCAAAGCCCCACACACTGAATGCAGGGTAAAGGGGCTCTGTAAATGTAGTCTGAACTCTGTACAGAAGCTTCATGCCATCAGAGACACTGTAAAATGCAAGTATTCCTGCTGCATGATCCACGTAGACGCCAATGCGAGAAGACGTTGGAGCTGGAATATCTTTGCTCTTGTTGTTGTGCACAAAGGAGAATTTGGAGTCAGAGCAGTACAGACTCCAGGACTTGTCGTTCCAGCCCAGGCTGCATTCATTGCCGTTTCCTTTACGGCGGATTCCCCTGTAGGTTACGGCCATGTCTACCTCTGTTCCCCTCCAGTCTACCTCCCAGTAACAACGAGTCCCAGTCACACTCTCCCTGCACAACACCTGGAGTGGAAGCCACAATGAATGAGAGATGAATAGACAAGATGTTCCTTTATGCATGGCTTATAAAACCTGTTAGAAAACACTGCAGCTGCACAACTGAAAACACTTTGTAAGCATAGGAAGACTTGTCAAATACGTATAATAAAAGACTGATTTGTATAGCAGTTTTCAATCAATACCAACAAAAGACATTTAAAATATTTACATGAGAGGAAGAAAATAAGGTTTTTTAAAAAAGCATGATTTCATAGACTAATTTTCATGAATAAAATCTTAAAATGAAATCATGATGGCAAATCTAAGTTCCCTGACAATAATACAATAATAAAAAGCTCCTGTTACTCTAAAGTCTGTATGTAGGATTCAGCATGCCCCCTTCTTGATAGCCTGATCTTTTTGGTTCCATTTACAAAAGTTATCTTTCCTTATTTTCAGTAAAATTCGGTAAATTCTCACCTGCTGCCAGTGGTCAAATCGATCCGGGTGATCAGGGTAGTTCTTCGGCTCGCTCTTCATCGTAGCTGCTTGGTTGCCCTCGGAGAGGTAAAGGTTGGGGTGGACAGTGTTGACATCCAGTATTAACTGGCAAGAGTCTAAACAATGTAGGACAATATAATTATCAATCAATCAAAGTTTTTCTGTCTCTTTTTTCCAATTTAATGTTATCACATATTCTGGTATTTGTCTTTTGAGATTAGATGTTTCTATGAGCCTGTAGTGTCACAACTTAACATCATTCTTTTGCTTCCAACCAAATATGTGTGACACTAATATGTTGACAAAGTTAGTCCACTAAAACTCCCATGCATCAGCTTGTTGAAATGCTTTCCTTAGGTGGGGTAAAACCAGGAACACCTCTGTTTGTTTAAGTGATACTGGAGTGTATCTTTGGTTTCTTACATTTCACCAAACCTGTTCTGTAAGCATACCTTCTGTAACACTGGTCTCACCACACAGCTCTATTAATCCCTTTGTTAGGAATGGATATGTTCCTAGTATATGACACCGTGACAATCACACTTTGAACCTCTCTAGGACAGAATTAACTACTGTATGACTGGAATATGAGCAGGGTTTGATACAACTGCCAAGTAGCCTTGCTAATTTGGTGCTAAAAGTTTCACAACAGGCAAGTATCTCTGTAAATAGTAACCTAATAACTCACATTTCATGAAATCGCCTCTTGTTTTTGGTTCTTCTCTCATCCTCGGTTCTTCTCTCATCCTCGGTTCTTCTCTCATCCTTGGTTCTTCTCTCATCTTCGTTTCTTCTCTCATCCTCGGTTCTTCTCTCATCTTCAGCTCTTCCCTCAAAATTGATTCTCTCCTTGGCTTCTCAGCTTCTTGCGTGATATATACTTCCTTCACTATGGAGAGAGAGACAGCAGCATATGCTTCATGAAAGCAGATAAAAACACAACTACTCCCGAAAAGCAAACCCAATGCAGAGAGACATCAGTGCTACTTGAGATAAAGAAAGACAAATTTGTTCACCTGCTCCAGAGATTTTGCTAATTTCTGTCTTGCTGACTTCTTCTATTTGCAATTTCAGTGCAGCAATGGCTCTCTTGGTAGCATCAAAGGAGTAATAGGGAGCAACACTGATGTTGTTGAGGTCTTCATATCCTGAGGGGCCCGACAGAGACTGCCAGCTCTGTTAAAAAATAAAAAATGGGCAAGATTAAGTTCAGAGAGACATATCTAGCAAATAGCTCAACTTTCTGCACCATACAAGGTCTTTGTCCTCAGTTTAGATCAACTTCACCTGCAGAAAGTGTATGTGATCATCGGTGTGTGAGAGCTTCTCCAGGTCAGTGTGTCTCTTCTTTAGCAGAGTGATTTCCTCCTCCAAGCGGTCTAGCAGTATCTCTCCCCGAGTCACAGTGGTCTTTTCGTGGGAGCGTATCATCTCCTTGACTTCATTGTACTTCCGCTCTATGGAAAGCAGAAGCTCAGAGAAGATTCGCTCGTTCTCCTCCAGGACCATTTGAGCAGAGTGCTGTTGGAATACATAAGAAAGAGAGGAGAGTGGTTATTTTTCAAACCAGAAACCTTAAAAGAGTCATGTAAACATCATGCAATGTTTAGTATTGGCAACTTTTCACTTACTTTAACTGATTCTACAGCTTGTCGGAGATCCTGCCACTTTTTAATTCTCTGATCAATCCTCTGTTGAGATTTGTAGAGCGTGGTACTAAGTTGTTTCTAAAGAGGAAATTACATTGAAGTTTCAGTCATTAGTGGCCGATAACTCTGTACTACAATGAACTATTTGCTGTCTTCATTGAGTATTGTAAAACTGACGGTTTCATCACTTACTTGCTTCTCTGTCCTCTCAGTTCCAGCTGGGACGATGTCGTGGTGCTTGTGTTCATCCATCATGCAAAGAACGCACACTGATGTCTCATCAGTGCGACAAAAAGCCTCCAGCAGCTTGTCGTGCTGTGCACAGATCTTCTCTCTCATCTGACCTGTAGCTTTGACCAGTTTGTGCTTCATCATGGCAGGGTACTCATAGTGAGACTGGAGGTGGGCCTCGCAGTAAGATGCCAGACACACCAAGCAGGACTTCGCAGCCTTCTGCTTACTTGTTGTGCAGAAGTCACACAGGACATCCCCGTTTTTTGCCTGGGTCCTGGGCTGGCTGTGACTGGTAGAGCGACGAGACTTCTCCAGGTTGGTGTATCTGTCTAAATCCAGAGTGCTGTGGTGGGACATTTTTACCAGGAGTTTAAAAAATCTTGTCCAGCAGATATGATAACAAAAATAAAATCCACAGGTGATTTAGTTCAGCAGTAACGTGTTAATCTCTTAATAAAATAAGTTGAGATCAACAAATAAGTAAAAACTTGACAAAAACTGAGCGGGACGAGTTCCTAACAGCTTCAGTGAAACTGTGTGACTGACGCCGTGTGAGACAGAATGTTAGCTATGTGGTCTACACTCACGGTAAAACCAGTATTCCTGGTTGGGTGTTTAATAGTCAGGGAATGGGTGTTACTACAAATGCACAC